GTCGTGGGGTGGGTGCTGGCCGCTGCTCCCGTGGGAGCACGAGGTGTGGACCCCACAGGCACCCACCCTGTGGCATGTTCTGCTCCGCGATCAAGCGCTTGGATGGTTGCTTGAGTCACCTGCTCTTTTCTTAAGGACAGTGTGCCCTTCTCAAGTTCCTTTTAAACAGGGATTTTGCTCTCTTTTAACTAACCAGCCCTGCTTATTCCCCCCCTCCCCAAGTGAAGAAATGGAGACGTGGGAAAGTTAGAAGCGTTTTGCTTAAGGTCAGATAGAAAAATCTCTGGCAAGCGATGGCGACTCTGAAAACCCTGGCTCCTGCTTTCCCTCCACAATCTGCTCTGATATCCTAGAAAGAATATCACAAAACTTGTGTTTGCAATACCTGTCTGCTGCTGCTGCCAAAACTCCTGTGTTTGGGATGTGTTTCCACGGGTCCCTGACTACGCGGTGTCAGCCTGGGCTGTGGATCCTTCCCTTTTCCCCAGGCAGGTTGCTGTAATGCAGTACGCGTCGGAGAATGTAGCCTACAAGTGAGGAGGCTGGTAGAAAAGAAGGTTGTTTTGGCATGTTTGATTGAAAGCAAGACAAAACAGACCACAGTGTAGCTTTATGCCTCGGTTTCTGCTATTTAGCGAGCCGATTTTCCACATCATGTTTAGTAAAAGCTTTCATTATGCAACTTGAGCTTGTGGAATCATGTGCTACCTCCACGCTGAGCAAAACAGTGATCCTTTAGTCCTCCCTGCTGCCAGGGTTTTGCAATAAGTTATGATCTGATTTTAAAAACCACCCAACCATCAGGGCAAGTACTGAATTTTCTTTGGTTTCTTAGTCAAATATTTGTCACCTTTTATTTTCAAACAGCATCATTTGGGAGATGACTGAATTAGAGTTGAGTCCAAGTAAAGGTGGACCAGAGAAAGACGTTAAGGCTGAGTGGGAGTTGGGGAAGAACTTCAATTCCTGCCCAACCTGTTCTAATTACTGCTTGACAGCAAGGGCTGTGTGTGGGGACGCCCGAGGTGACTGCATGCGCGTCTGGGTACACCAGGCTGTTGCTGGTGAAGTTGAAATAAAATGCAGCAGGACAGTGGAGCTGGTTAGGTTATTTCATTTCAAGTGAATAGAGAGTTGCACTGTAAGAAGTACGGAGAGGAGAGTGCTGGTAAAGAGCCCCGTGTTGCCTAAGGGACAGAAGAAAGGGGTCTGACTTCTTTATGGACGCACTGGCTACACCAAGCTACATCAAAGAGTTGATGCAAATCTGGCCTATTTGTAATTTACCTGTCTGCTACTCACTTGTTGTGTGGCCTTTGTCTGTACTTTAACTTCTCCGTCTGGTTTAATGCTTCTCAGCCCCATCGGCTACAAAGTGCGGAAAGAAACAGGCAGATTCACTGAAATTATTTTGGCCATAATCTGTGCACTCTCTTAAAACCGTAAAAATCCTGAAAGATCGCTCTAAGCCTGAGAGAGAGAGGAAGGGAGTGTTCAGATTGAACATCCTCTGGGTGAGTTTGCTAGGTTTATTTTCAGGTCTTTGCAGTAAAAATAAAATGCCATCTTCTGGTCTTGGTATTGATCAGCTCCACTTGCTCTGTTTAAAGGACAGCATAGCTTTTTTCGAAGACCTATCACCAGGTTCTGCTTTGTAAATGCCTCCCATCCTGTGCGGAGCCAGTGTTTAAAGCTTCTCCCTGCTTTATGATCTGCATGAAAAGCTGGAGAAAACCAGTGAGGACCTGTTCTCTGCCCACCCCCTTGTGACACATCTTCCTCCTTTCCTTCCCTGCCTTTTATCATTAGCTGGGAACTCAAATCGTAACATCAGATTCTGGATGTAAGGCTTGGAGATGGTTCCCCCTCGCGCTTTTCAGTCCTTCAAAGTCACGCTGGCTATCTGTGGAGCTGTTAGCCTGAAAATTGTGTAGTGCCATGTGGGTAGGCACTGCTGCAACTGATAGGAAAAGATGCTGATATGTACATTCAATGCAGGAGGTAGGTGAGGGAGACCAAAGGAAAAGTGGTGAAGAGCAGATAATGTTTTAAGGGTTTAAAGATGAGTTTCCAGTATCTTTGTCTAGGCGAGAACCTGGGATTTCCCCCCCCTCCCCTTCATAGGTTGCTAACACCGTCATCCAGCGACCATTGTGTAAAGAGTCATTGAGAGCCGCTTCTGGAAGGGGTTCAAGGCAGGATGGAGTTCTGTCATGCATGTTTTTGATTCTTCACGAGCAGTTACTCATCAGGGCAGGTGTTTGTAAAGATGAATACTTTTTTAATGTTGAGTATAAGCAGAGACTGGTTGTTCTTTAGCTGAGTGGAGCTGACTAAATATATGTTGGAAGTCAGTACTTGAAATTTTTTTTTAGGGAAATGAGGATGTCACGCTGGATCAAGCCTGTCAAACAGGTTTGTTCCTTATTGATTCACGTGGTAATGCATCTGCCTAGTCTACTGCTAGACTAGAGATCTACAGGCTCTGTTCTGGGTTTAAACTTCTTGAGCTCAGATGAGCTTTGAAAACAAGCTTACAGTTTGCTTTCGAAATATTTATGCAGTTGCAAGGTATAAGTTCTGGCATCCAGAGCATAAATTTCCAGGCTACCTCACTTGTTCTGGATTTCTAAATATCGAGTATCATTTAGTTGGGTAATGTCAACTTTGCAGTGAGAGTAGCTGATCCAAACTCAGGGTGAGGAATGGACCAGAACCCACCTTGGGATTGTGTCTTGCTTTGCTTTTGATAGTGATTGCTGTCAACCTCTGAAGTATTTGCATTTCATGATCAGGCTATGCAGATGGTTAAAAGTAAGCATATATACACTTATAAAAGTAAGCATATATACACTTATATATATATATATATA